CTTTACCTCTTTATAATATTAGTATAGATATATATATATATTAATTAAAAGCAAAATCTTTTGTCACCACCAACTGAAACTGAAACTAACACTTTACAAAAAGTGGCATAAGTAGAGACTTGACTGTGCCTGGATGAAATATAACCAAATCAATCAAGACAAGACAAGTACTTTATCCACACTTTTCAAAATATATTTTAATTGCTTGATGCACAAGGAGAGTACTTTGAAAGTGACAGTAGCCACTAGTGTACAGTTTTACATGGATATTTTTTAAAGATGCATTCTGGGAATTAAATTGTCACACCTTGTAAATAGCTTCTTTAATATTTTCATAATAAATTTTTAAAATACATATTATTATACCTCATATAATCTGAGAATTTGATGGCTGGATGATCAAAGTGGTTAAAGCATCAGCTTTTGGGGATGTGGGAGCAAATTTGGATAATTGAAAACCCCAGGAATTTTTTTTATTGGTCTATAGCAGTTTGTCAACCCTAACACTTGCCACCCAGTTGCTCTTATTGTTAGTCTGATTGAATCCACAATGGGTATGATTAAAAAGCCTTTCTTGTACTTTTTAAATTGCAGATGTTTAAACTCTTTTAGACTCAACAGTTGCAGTGATTTTAAATAACTACTTTTCCATAGAGTATTGACTGTTCTTTTGTTTAAGTTAATAAATAATAGTAATACATGCAAAACATTTTTATCAAACATTTAAGCCTTCTCTGTAAATCATTTCGTGAGCACAAGTATTTACTAGAAACAGAGACTAATGGCAAAGATGTTTGGTCACTTTTATCAATTTAGGAACACCTATGGCTCTTAATCGATGGCCCAATATTGGTAATAAAACAATGATGTAAACATCAGCATGATGGTAACTTACTTATATCATCCCTTTATTGAATGCCAATGACAAATAGATGTTGTTTAAATCAATAAGATGCCAATTAATCTGGATCTGATTAATTGCCAAAGTTGGCCCAATGTTAGTGGGTTAGTATAATTTTTTGTGATGAAGATATAGAGCAGAGATGGGCAACTTTTTTCTATATAAGGGCCGCATTTCAAAACTTTTTAACTGACGCGGGCCGCATACAAGAGAAAAGAGGAAAAAAATGTTGGTAAATCACAATTATTTATTCATATATAATTATAAATTCTTATACTTAATTTAGCTTCTGGAACTGATGTAAACATAATATATCAGAAATATTTGGTTAAATATTAGTCACTGCTAGCTTTAAATTAGTTTTAATGTGTCTGTTAGCTGGTTTTTCATTTTAATTTTTACTAAATTCATTGTGGAAAAACTATTCACATACATAACTTGTAGAAAATAACATTTGAATTTTTGTTGCATACTTCCTTAAGCTGGAAAATTGATATATCTATTCATATTTTACAAGGGCCGCAAAAAATATTACTGTCAGCAATGGGTTGCCCATTTCTGATATAGAGGATCAAGAAACAAAAGTCCAGCAACATGTTGCTTAACTTTCCAACATTTGGTGGCACCATCTGATATGATATTACCGTATATTTCTGCAGATAAGACGACCTTCAGATAGGATGAGGTATAAATTTTTGTCGAAGTTTTATAGTTTTAACATATATCTGTCCTATAAGACTATCAATGGCCTATAAATTTAGTTTAGATCAGCGAACATCATCTGGATAATAATACTGTATAGCATATATGGAATTATGCTCTATTTGTAATTTCTCAAATAAACAAATTTTATTTTCTATCTGACAGTACTGCCTTGTGATTATTGCCAACATTTGCACAGATTTGGGCATTCAGGTAATGACTTTGACTATTCACAAAAATGTTGTATGGGCTATTTAAATACATTGGTGAGTGATTTGTTTTATTTTATAATGGTTTTAATTTATATAAATTTCAATCTAAATTTTTTTGTATCTATCCTATAAGACGACCCTGGATTTTGGGGACCTTTTTTATGATTCAACTATCGTCTTATCTCTGCAGATAAATGGTAGTTAAAAATATAAAAAGTTGTTTTTTATTATAAAATGGCAAAAAGCTTAATTTTGAGAGTAGGGGTGGGTTTTATAAAAAATTGTAAATGCTAATAAGTAAAATTGTCATTAAGTTCAACCCTACTGGAGATACACAATACTCCTTTATCTCTCCATCCTCTTGACCTTTATTCAACAAAATTTAATAGTATCAATCCTCTAATAAACAAACATCCCTGTAAGATTTTAGAAATTTTTGACAAAAAGCATGAGAGTTATTAAGCTTCAAAGAGGGTGAAAAAATTGTGCCCCCCACATACACACACTAACATCATACATACAGAAAAAACCCTTGAATCTTTTTTCATTTCTCAACATTTCAAGGTCCTCTGAGTCCAAAAATATAAAAATCTTGGGGTCATTTTTTGGCCAATTGCTATACTTTTCCTTTGTTATATAGAACAGCCAGAAAATTAAAAACAGGTCATAGGGAAGCTGTGGTTGGTCTGGCAGTGGCTTCTTCCAGGAACATGGAGAGGGGTCTGAGACAGTAGTCCCCAGAAAAAATTAATGAAATTTAGAGCTATTTGGTGAAATTTTTTAAAGGAAAGAGTACTGGATAAAATGAATGAATGAATGATTGCAGAATTATTTATTTATATATAGTATGGTAACATTTTAAATCAAATTATGATGATTTGACATTTTCAGTCAAATGTGAATGGATAATTCACCATTCACTCACCGATTTTGGGATAAACCAGTAACTAGTTTTGCTCATGCATGTGTGATGCAGTGATGCTACACTTAAGACTAGCCCAGTTTTAGGTAATGGGAATGCTTTTAAAATACACTACCAAGGGACAAGTTACTCAGTAGAGCTGTTAAATTAGAATCTTCCCAGAATTTTTAAAACATATCCACAGACTATAACTACATTAATAGGAGTATGAATATGAAATAATAATAATAATAAGGGTATTAGATTAATAATCAGTACACACTACAGTATTTTCAGGATGAAGATATATATTCAAGGTTCCATTATGGTTTTTCATATCTTCAATACCACTATGCCAGTACCCAATGCAGTTTTGCTGAGTTGTGAGAGACTTTCTAATGGCTACACTTTGATATAAATTTTCAACAAATAAAAAAAAAAGGAAACTTAGACTAATCAGTTTTCTGTTTGGTTTTAGTAGAACTTCAGAAAACATTTTTGTTTTCTTACTGTCTGTATATATGCTGTATTTTATGCATGTGTGTTATTCTCCCAGGTCTAATTCAGTTTTAAAACAACAGAAAGATTGCTGTTTTTCTGATGTATTTTGATTATCCGAATCAATTGGGGACTGGGATTGTTCGGAAAATTGATTTTTTGGATAACCGATTATGTATGAAAAAATATATTAACCTATCCCATGTTGAAATTCTTTCAAATCCTAGCTCATCCTTAAGTACCCTCTCATGGTCGTGCCAGTGCTGCCAGCTAAAACACAGACACCAACAAAAATAATAATGGAGTAGCTCAAGACATAGCCAAAGATTGCTGCACTACAGCACTAGTGGAAATTTAAATTTGTCAATTGGAAAGCTTTTGGTTAATTGACGTTTTGGTAGATCGACATTTGGATAATTGATGCTCTACTGCAGTGCAGTAGAGCATCAATTATCCAAATGTTAACTGCAGTGCAGTTAACCTGTGGGTCGCGACCCCCAGGGGTGGTTGCAAAGCGTTACACCGGGGGCACTGTAAAAGAAAAAGACAAGTGTTTGTAGATCCTACACTACAATAAAAAAAACTACAATTTTAGTGAGAAGGCTGTGCTTGTTTATTTTACAGTTCAATTTGTTTTTCGATCGATATTTAGGTCTTAACAGAAAGAAAATTAAATACATAGTTTTTAAAATCACTAATATAGTTTTAATATGGCCCTGGGGGGTCGCCAGAATTTTTTAACTTGAAAAGGGGTCGTGTATTCAAGAAGGTTGAAAAACACTGCTCTACTGTATTTTAGAAAGAACATATTACTGAAAATGTTGAATATTTCATTGTTAATTATGACAAAGAGAAATTAAAGACAAAGACAAATAGAGCTTGTGTATATTAATTATTGAATTATTGAGCAAGTTAACAATCCACAATGATATTTAGATGCTATCTACATTTAAACATGAGAAAATACTAATAGGTTTCACTTAGTACCAGGCCTAGATAGCATTGGAACAGAAGAGCAATAAAATTTTTAAAGTTTGACCCCACAAGGACTTCACTCTATGGTGGATTCAGCTGAGTCACATAAATGCTTCCTAAAAATTCTTCAGTTTAAATGACCAGTAATTAAAGAATTTTCTTTACTGGGAGTGCCTGGTCAGTTTATGAAAAATATAACTTGATTAAAAAGATCAACATTGTGAAGGAAATTAGCCTGTTGATAGATAAAATAAAGTATAAATTATGTAATTTTATGAGAGTAATATATTCAATGCAAGTTTACTTCAAAATAAATAGAAATTAGCATAATTGAAGATGAGCCCAAAATATAAATTAAACACTGTTTCTTTATTTTAAAGGAATTATATAATTTAAACTTTTAAACTATATGTTTAACTGTATAAGCCAGTAGAAAGAATAGTTTGTTATCATTTTCATTTATCATAATGAATTTATTTGAAGCAGTGTAATAAATAGCTTTAATTTTAGATTTGTTACTTAAGTTTCTTGATAGTCTTTAATTAATTAAAAAGAGCATGTATATTTATAATATATATTTGAAAATGCTTTTAAGTAATAAACCAAAAAACATTTGATTGGCCAAAAACAAAAATAAATAAATAAAAATTTAATATGAAACAAACTGAAATTATATAATATAAATTAAATAAGAAATAAGTAAAATTTTATCGAAGAATAAGTAAAAAGAAACAATAGAAAATGTAATTAATGAAAATATTTATTTAAATTTAAATAATGTTTCGCATTAATTGTTTTGTAACTGTTGCAGTATCCGCTCTTCGTCACTGCTTGAAATGTGTTGAAAGTGTGAGATGGTATTGATGTTGTTCGTTTGGTGTTGATTAATGTGCCTGTTACTGTTGTGCAACCTCCACATTATTTGCATGTTGTGAGTTCCAAATATATTGAGTTAAAATCATACAAAATAATAATTTTAAAATTTTTATGTTAAATTTTAAAATTAAAATTTTATCTAACATTTATTAATGAAAAAATAATCTGTATATTCGAATATATATGTGTGTATTTTTTCAAGTATCTTTTATTATAAATAATAATTGATTTATATGTATATGTATATGTATATATTAACATATTTCACAAAGTATACAAACATTCTTAAAAATTCAAAATATATATAGTATAAAAAGTAAATTTTTCTTATGAAATAAATAAAAATTTTATTAAATAAATGAATGAAAATAGAGTGCATAATAAACTTTTCAAAATTTTTATTTTAAAAATATTTCTAATGTCTCAAGTAAATGGAATGTTTGCATATATTTTTCCTTTACATATTTTATTTTAATTCAATTATATGATATGTATAGTAAATAAAACAATATAAATATATTATTTTTTACTATTAATTTACATTAATTATTTAAAATTTTTAAAATTCAAAATATAAAAATTTGTAATTTATATGACATATTTTTTATACGTAAACAATTTATTGACTATTAGTTTATTAATATTTACTTTTTATTTAAAGTATTTTTTAAGCCTTGAAATTGCATGCATGTACAGTAATAAGTATTTGCTTTTCTGTTATATATATATATATATATATATAC